TCCCTGCTCACCTACACAGACATTCTCTGTTCTCACCTGTGCAGACACCCACAGACATTCTCCCTGCTCACCTATGCAGACACTCACAGGCGCTCTCCCTCCTCGTCTGTGCAGACATCCAGACACTCTCCCTGCTCACCTGTGCAAACACCCACAGACATTCTCCCTTCTCACCTATGCAGACATTTTCCTTTCTCACCTATGCAGACACTCTCCCTGCTCACCTATGCAGACATTTTCCTTTCTCACCTATGCAGACATTTTCCTTTCTCACCTATGCAGACATTTTCCTTTCTCACCTATGCAGACATTCTCGTCGTCCAGCTCGGCGGAGCTGTTGCGGTAGAAGCCCAGGCGGCAGTGCTGGCAGTGCTGGCCCCGCGTGTTGTGCTTGCAGCTCACGCAGGTCACCACGTTCAGGAAATCGATGTAGCTGCAGCGGTTGGAGTGGCCGTAGCACTCGCAGTCTGTGTGGGAGAGGAGGGGACAGCTGGGGACATGGGGACATGGGGATGGAGAGCCTTCCCTCGTGCTGGGAGAAGAGAGGAGAGGAGCCACCCTGCGGGAGGGTGCTGCCGGAGGGAATGCCATGGCCACTGCCACAGCAGGACTGCGGTGTGCTGAACAGGAGGAGTGTGAACAGTTCTCCACCAGCACGGGGAGATCGGGCTGGAAATCATCACTCGGAGAGCAGAGCAGGGTCAGGGTCCCGTAATCTTGGGGTGTGGACAGGCAGGAGCCAGCCCCTTGCAATCCCAGGATGATTTCTTTCAGAAACTGCGTAATTATGGGGGCAGGCAGCAGTGGGGAGTTAGATGTTAATTACAGAGCTGCCTTGTTAATGAGCAGGGCCTGGGTTTGGCTCTGGAGAGGCTGCAGGACCTGTGAGGAGCCCTGGCAAAGGCTCAGCCTCTCTGGGGAACAGAGGGGACTGGCCTGTGGGATGGGGCTGGCAGAGGGTGCCCTCGTGGAGATGGAGCTGCTGCATGTCCAGGTAAAACCTCACAGCCTCTCCTTCTCCCCTCTGTGTCCCTTCTCAGCCCTTTCCTGTTGTACCTTTCTGTTGTGAAGGGTGCTGGCTCTCAGGTTAATTATTTAAAATAAGCCTGTGCAAGGCAGTGTGGCTTGTGTGAGATCCTCCAACAGGATCCTGGTGGACAGGTTTGAGCCAGGGCTTGCCTGGCACAGCACAGCCTGCAAAGGCTGCAGGTGGGGTGGGAGATGCCACCATCACTTGGCCAAGTGTTCCAGTCCCCAGGGCTGACCTCTCTCAGATGTGGGCACATGTTAGGAAACAATCTGTGGGCGAATTTGTACTCAGGGTGTTTGGATTTTGTGCTTCTTGTGTCTGCTTTTTGCTACCATGACTTGGGATGGTGAGAGCCTTGCAGTGGCAGATCCAGGTGCTGGATCTTGCTGGGAGTTTATAGATATGTGAGTTTATATAATGAGATGTGCAACTCGGGAGAAAAGCAGGTGACTTGTGGCCCAGCTGGCCTGGTCAGGAGGTTCCCAGCCAGCAAGGGCAGGGGATAACGTGAGCAGAAAGGTCTCAGCCAGGTCTGAGCTTTCAGAGCCTTTGTTCCAAACAGAACATTAAACATTCAAGGATGGCAGGGAAGGCTGTGGGTTGGCATGCACATGCAACTGGAGGAGGAGACGTGATCAATGGCATGATGACCAGGGAAGAAGGAGCAGGGCAGAGGTTTCCCCATGGTTCACAGCTGCCTGAGGAGGAGCTGAGAGTCTCCTGTGATCTCTGTGAAGTTATTTCTGCTTCACTAAATGATATCCAAAGAATTTCAGCTCAAATATTGCCTGCTGCAATTCCCAGGTGTTGTTTCAGACTAGGGAAGCACTGCTACACCCAGCCAACAGCTAACCACCACTCAGACAGACCCTCCCCACCTCCTCCGTGTCTGAGTCTGCAGGACCACATCACCTGAGCGAGGTCAGGGAGCCCTGGAGCACCTCCCTCCCTCTGCTTACCTTTGTACGTTTCAATGGGAGCCACTGGGCCAGCGTTTGGTTTGAGCCGGATGAGTTTAGAGCCCTTTGAGGATGCTTGAGAAAAATCAGAGAACACCTTTTTCTCACTGCTTAGCACCACCCCGTGTCCTCCCCTGCCACGAGAACTTTTGGAACTCAAAATGTCTCTCAGACATTTTTAGAGGTTCCAGGCCTTGGTCAGAAGCATTTGAGACCCTGGCAGGCAGCTGGAAACAGCTGTGATTTTGAGTTTGAGCCATGGAATGATTTACCAACTTTGAAGGTGGAACAAGAAGTCTCAAAGGATTAGATAGATAGTAAAAATAGTTACAAAACAGAGGGGAAAATTCTTTAGTATTGTACAGGGGGGTTTAGCACCTGTACAGGGGGGGTTTTCCTTTGTACATGGGGGTCAGAAGTTCTAAGATGGAGGAAAGTGGGCTGATCCTGTTCTTCCTCCTTCTTCTTCCTTGCCTCCATGTTTTTGGTGATGCTGGCACTTATGGATTGGTTTAGAGTAGAAAAGCACTTTTTAATATAGGTAGTAGGTATTGGGGAAAAACTGTAAACATATTATATGTAATATATCATATAAAAGATAGCAGGAGCCCTGGGCGGGGAGAGAAGAAGAGGACAGCAGACAGAGAGGATGTCAGGGTGTGTGTGTGTCTCTGTCTGGGCTGCAGCCCACAAAGACAATCTTTTAGATAACTCACAATAAACTGCCTTGAGACCAAACACCAAGAGGCTGCGGAGTCTTTCTTTGGAAGCACGGGTTGGAGGAGAGACTTTTCCACCACACGAGACCCCAGACCAAGCCCGGGGTTGTCACAGAGAACAACGCCGAGCCAAGAGCACTGTGCTGGCAGCACTGGCCTCTATTTCTGCAGCAGACACCTGGTAGCTGCAACCTTTCTCCTCTTCCCCTCCCCTCCTCAAAGCTGGATGCATGAAACACCTCGTGCACCAACAACTTGATGCACAATGCTGGGAGCAGCTCCTCACACCTGCCCCCTTCATGGCTGCTCGGTGGGGTGGTCTGGGACAAGGATCTACAACTTACAAACCATTTCCTACTGAACACAGAGCTCAGCTGGCACCCAAAAATCCGCCAGGAGGACGAGCGCTATGGAGGTGGCATCTGGCAGGGGTTGCTACAGGGACCTGCAGGGCAGGTGCTGCTCCAGCCTGGCCCTCCCCCAGCAGCACGTACCTGTCTTTTTCTTGTGCTTCTTGCCTGCAGAGTGTGCTGTGCGCCCTGCTTTGCTCTTCGGAGCTGCTATGCCAGAGGATAGAACAGGTCTGAGAGCTGTGCTGGGGGAGGGGGCTCCCAGGACCACTTTCCCCTGTTTCCTCAGGGTAAAGAGGTGTCCCAGCTGGAATGGGGCTCCCAGGACCACTTTCCCCTGTTTCCTCAGGGTAAAGAGCTGTCCCAGCTGG